TTAGGCTTGCTTCAGACTGGCTAGCGCTAGGATCTGATTTATGAACATCCTGTTGTCTTCTGCCTTTCTGTGGAATTCGGCTCCTCGTGTTTCAACCATGTTCTTGATCGAATCTTAAATTGTCTGATTGGGTCTGATACCCTACAGCGCCTTTAGAGAGAAGTTTCCATTTTACGGATTATGATTATAATGAAAGAGTTTTTGATTTGTTTTATTTCGTTAAGTAGTAATTTAAAGCTTTCTATAGATATATGTATCATGTCTGTGAGGCATGCATTCACTGAGTTTCATGCATTCGCAGAGCATCACACCACGTGAAAGTGAAACCTGAGCGGTGAACTAATTTTCAGCAGCCGGAATTTCGGTGCATCTCTAATTATTGGAGACATCAGAAATGGATATTATATAATGGATGCTTTTTTGAACATTTTAGCAGTTTAAAAATATAAAAATATATATTTTTTACACGGCACCCCGGTTGGGAAACATTGCATTAGGTCATATGAGATCAAACGGCTACTCGACAACAAAATTATTTGTCGACAATTTTTTACTGTCGACGTTGTCGATAATGTCGACTAATCGTTTCAGCCCTACTTACGTTTTAGTACAATATTGTCAATGTGACTGTTTTTGCTCGATTTTTTTTTTACGAAAATAGTTCCAAAGTTCACACCATAAAAGCAGTGCGTGTATGATTCATGTACTAGCTATTTTTTTCAGAAGCCAAACATTATCTTTATGCAGACTGAAATGGAAGTCTTTATTCAGTACGAGTCTTGACATTGGCCATAAATCACTTGTGAATTTTTATAGACATGCTAAGAAGTTGAAATGTCTGATTCATGAAGAAATTGTTCACTTTAGTCAGATTTTTTTTTTTAATTAATGGCGGACTGATTAATTAATGACGGACTGATTCACTGTCTTGTCACTGACATTGTTTAAATGTCAAATGTTAGCTAAATATTAAATGCAAACTACATGTAATATTGTTCTTGTGAGGTCATTTTATCAAGTGGCAAGATGAATAAATGCAGAAAGACATGAGAAAAAACCTCGGAGGAGGGGTACGTCCTTGGCGCATGTCGCAGGCCGAAATATTTCCCACAGCCATGTCACTGTGACATGCTATCAGATTATCATATCCCACTGTAGATTTATGCCTGACACACACACCAGAGGGTGAGACAGAGATAAATGAGTGTGTGCGTGTGCCCTTGATATGGCTTCTCTCTGTACCAGCTTATACTTTGTCTCAGATTCTCGATTTCTGTCATACTCATTCTTTTTTATGGCTCCCACTCTTGTTCTCGCTTCTGCCGATTGATTCCTCCTGTTCTTTTCTCATTCTCCAGGCCTCCCAGATCTATTAAGACCTTCACATTTGTGTTACGTTTAAATTTGCATATATTTTCTTGCCAACATGACAAAGTGCACATATTGCATAGACAGTTAGTTATTGGCCCGACAGGTTAATGACTTTTGTGATGAATGATTTTGTCAGTGGGTAAAGTGCTTCATCTTTCTTTTAATCTTTTTACATCTTATGTGACACATCTAAAATGTGACTCAAAAATTGTCATTAGTCAAACTGTGGATGTGCATAGAGTACACAAAGTATTGAAAATGTGTCTATTAATACTTATTATTATTTTATTTACTATTATTATTAGTATTATTCATTTGTTTATAACATATATTATTATTTATTTATTTATTATTTTGATTTATTTATATCATAATTTATTTTATTTTTATTTTTTTCACAAAATAGTATACAATTTTAATATTGGTTTTTATCGGTTATATATCAAAATAATTATTGGCTAATTATGATTATGAATCGAAAATAGTGCCAAAAGAAGCCACAGTCTGGAACTGAGAGTGAAGTGGAGCGTCAGATTTCATTCCCCACTCAAAGTGAAGTAATCAATCCACACCAGCTCCTCTACAGGACTTTTTTTATGTTTTGCTCCCTAAAGACAGATTTTAAATGAAGTCTCTATGTTAAGCAGCTCGGAATTAACTGCACAAGTTTAACCTTAGAAAAAGTTTAAATTTAGAAGGAAAAAAAAACTGTATGTGTGTGGTCAGAACACGACCCATGTGTTTTTCTTCTTTTGTAAACACACTGTTCTTACTCAAGGATTATCTGTTTCTGCCCCAGGCACCTCTCTCTGTATTTCTCTCTCTTTGAATTGTTTACTTGTTATACTGAACCTGTCCACATTCTGTCCACCCCTCATTACCTGCCTTAAATATGTATGAATAACGAATTCACAGTTCACAGTGGAGCCATATGCTTTGAGAACTCAACTCTTCAGCAACTGCGCACACACACATACTCATTAAAACTGTGTCTCAACTGATGTGTGCTCACAGCTTTGTGTTATTTGTGCTTTCAGGGTAAAGAAAATGCGGAGGTGGAGCCGTGGGAGGAGGCCAATTTTGATCTGTATAAAGCGGTGGACCGCTTCGGATTCCTGCAGTAAGAAACGTGCATTTTTCTGTTCTGAGTGAGGAGATGCAGGTACTGGAGAAACCCTAGCTCAGAGAGTCTGAGCGTTCACTGTACACCCTTATCTTGATGTCTGTCTGCTCCTTCGGCCTCTCCTGTCTTCTCGTTTCTCCTCTCTTCACACCCTGGCAGGGAGGTTTGTGGCTTACCCAGGCCCCTTAAACAGCAGTGCACTATGCGATATTTATAGGGTGCCACATGTGTCTGGCAGATCATGACTCTATAATTGTAGGGGCAGAGAGACTGGAGGAAAGAAATACGGCTACAAAAAAGACAGTAGCAGAGAGAAAAAGACTGAAAAAGATTGAAAGATAAGTTGCAAAACTGGAAAAGTCCAAAGAAGTATATGGTGATGTGAGGTAGACCTGACTTGGCAACACATGCCAGTGTTTCTTACAGTTTTGTTTTTTGTTTGCTTTGTACTTGAAGTTGTATGTTTTGTTTTGTTTGCTCTGTATTTTGTTTTTATTTTTTTTATTTTGTTTTGCTTTAATTTTTTTTTCTCCGTTTTATTTTTGTTTGTTCTGTATCTTAAGTTTTTTGTTTGTTTTGATTTGTTCTTTTGTTTTTATTTTGTATTTTTTGCTTTTTTGTTTTGTTTTGATTTTTGTTTGATATATATATATATATATATATTTATTTATAATGTTTGTTTTGTTTTTTGCTTTGGTTAGTTTTAAATAAAATACCGTATGAACAACGAGTCAGTAATTACACTGATTGAATTGTCACTAACCTTACAAATTCACACAAGATTTTGGTCACAATACTGCCTTAGAGTCTAGCTGCCTATGTAGACAAAAAGGAAGCTCACTAGGGTTTGGAACAGAGCCTTAATGTCATGTCACAGCTTCCCTGGGTTACCTCATGGATATCTCAGAGCAGATCCAAACTGGCTGCCATGGGAAACAATCATTTCCTGTTTGTGTAGCTGACTAAGATCTCGCACTTTGAACAGATTCAGGGGTGGGGGTCACGGGGGCATCGTTACTAATAGTGATGTTTATTTATTCACTTCCTGTGGAACAAAGTAATTCCTTTTTCAGTAATATATGCGAGGAACCAAGATTTGACGTCAGCAACATGAACCAGAGTATGATTTATTGATGCGATTTCTCTCCCTGTACGACCATCGTGTTATGTGAACAGTGGGCAGACATTAGTGGCTATTTGAGACCATAAATCTCTGAGAGTCCAGTAGTCTGACTAAAACACTTGATTTGTTTCAACAGAAGAAAATTGAATTCAGTCTGTGTGTATTTCCCTTTTATAATGTGATGTGATTTGTCTTTCACAGTGAGGATGAGCTTCCAGTGTATGACGTAGTGGAGGAAAAGGTGAGTCAAGTGCTGTATTTGGCCAACCTAATACTTTCATAGTGCATCTGTGAAAACTTGTCCACAGTGTTTTATCTGGAAAACTAGAGCAAATACATCAGTAGGATGAGAAAAATACTTTTAAATACAGTATTAACATTTTCATCAACAGGTTTTAATTAAGCAACATAAGATTTTTATGAAACACAGCAGAGTTGTGTTTTGTGATTTATCACAGTTAAAAAGAAATTCTCACTACAGCAACCCAGAAATCACTTTATTTCCTGTGTAGAACTGCAGAATATATAATATGTAAAATATGTGCATGACATAGGATTAGAAAACAATATATAAAAACATGTTGCATTAATTTGTAAAGAAAGCTAAGGGCACCTGTCTGAACTTGAGCGGAATGGACTTCATACAGTATACATCTACTAAAAATCCCCTTGTCACCAGTTGGCTAAATGTAAATGCAAAAATGACTCAAATAAGTGACTTAAATTCAAATTTAGAATTATTTTTTTTATCACATATTTGTCATGACAGAAAGCACTTAAAGTGTCAGGTTATAAAGTAATAATGAGCTCTAAATTGGAGAAACAGTAACTGTTGCATCAGAGGCCATTATGTTCTTGTAGAAGAAAAAGCAGAGAAGATATTCAAAATTACCTTTTTTTTTTTTTTGGGTGGCCTCCTAAATTTTAATATGGTTGTTAATCTAATACTGCTTTCTAGATCTCACTGAAATCCATTTTCATTAAAGTCCACTTAGTGTTGCCTTAGATGAAACATTTAGGTGAGTTTTTGTCTCTTTCATTTAATTTATTGTACTGTGTGTTTGCACTTTGTCTGCTTAGCAAAAACATCTGGAAGTGGATAGAACGACAAAATGGCTGAAAATGTTGAAGAGCTGGGAGAAATACAAGAACAGCGACAAGGTGCGTGTCCTTCATAAACAGACTGTAACTCTCTGAAGGACTTTGAGAAAGTCCGTTTTTCTCAGTCTTTCGTCTTGTGTGCGTAAATGGCTAAAGTTCCCTTTGGCTGTCTCTGTCCTGTGTATTGGGCGTCATTGGACCGGTCCCCTAAGAAAACCACTGTCCTGCTTCAACTGAACAAAATCTGTCGGTTTCTATCCATCTATGTGTTTGGACATCTTCAGGCAGCTGTTGGTGTGTTAAATTGTATTTCTGTCCATTAGCAGTGTCTAGTGTGAAATGAAACTTTTCCATAGCGCCTGAGGTGGTGCGTGACAGGTGTGCAGTTTATTAGAACTTCAACTGATTTCAAGAAGTTTATTCAGAGTAGAACTGATTATTACCTCTTCTTATTAGTCCAGTTAGATCTATTAGACTGTCACACTGCGTCTGCACTAAATGAGCATAAACAGCATCTAAAGCACAACAAAACTGTCTACACTTTTTTTTAGTAGCACTGCACAGCTACTCCAGCTTCTTAAACTTTAGATTACAAATATATGTGTGGATTGATAGTATTTAAACTTCTGTATCTCTGTTAAAATAGTAGGAAACGAGGACTGACACATTTTACTGTCGCTCAAGCTTGAACCTAATTGGTCAATTGTTAGGGAATATTCAGAGGTCAGCTTCAGCACTTGCAGTGTAGACAACCTCAAGCTAACATCGGCTGCTTCTGGTGTCATTCAGAGTCCTCTTATTGCGAAAAAAAATCACTGATGACATTACATTCATAGATATGATTTCATCAACAACGGAAATGCATACCATAATGAGCTGTAGCGACTGGCGGTGACCTGGATTTGCATGTGGACAATAACTGAAAAAAATATTACTCTGAAGTGATTTGGGAAATGTTATTTCTCTTGATCTGAGGTGGAAGGTCAATACCCAGCTTGATTTCCTCTGGCATTCAGAATAGATTGGGGTGACCTCCGATCACTTTAACCACTGGAACCACCGTCTAGCTCACGCTATCATTGACGTTTCATCTTAACTATTTTGCTGTTTTTCAGTATTTGGCCCACGCCACAAGTCTTGCATTTTAAAGATGGTGTCAGTTTGAAATGTAAAACTAATTTTCTTGAATTGCTCGTATGCGAAACAGCTCATCAAGATAAATATATACTGTAAGTATTTTATGTTTTTGCATTATTTAGTTGTGTTGTTTAACTGTCCATTATGGTGACTATCTACTGTAGGTAGATCATCTATATAATTTTATAATCCTATATAACAGGGATTCTCAAACTTTTTGTGAACTAAACCCATTTGTCTTAAAGTATTTGCTTGATTTACCCTCTGAGATTTTATGTTAATATTTCAGTAATTTAATGTGGTTCTGATTTCACTGTGCCACACACACTCACTCCAAAGACATCTTGTTCAACGAGTTTTGTTTTTTTTGTAGAACAGATGGAGTCATTGACTTCTTACACATCCACAATTACAAAACCAATCCCCTGTTAACAAACACATTTAACCACACAAGCGAACACACACAGACACCTGCCGATTTGTAATGTCTCGTTTTAGTCAAATAAACCAACAGCCTTAATTGCCTCATTTTGCCGAGATTAGAGGCAGAAACACACACACACACACACACAGTCGTTGGGTTTGTGGCTGTGGGATATGTGCCCACTGCTGTCTGTCAATAATCAGCTCCTCAAGAGCCTCCCGAAGATTATTAATATTGTCATTACCATTATAGTAAGTGAACTACTCGGCAGCCATCAATTCACACACACACACACACACACACATTCATACATATATGGAAGGGCCTTGAGGGTGGAAGAGATGTTCAGGAAATCACTTAGTGGCAGTAATGTGGACAGATGAGTGCAGGAAACGGAAGAGTGTTCATTCCTCTCTTTCACCTCACAACCCCTCCACAGTCGTACATCTCTCTCTCTCTCTCTCTTTCTCTCTTTCTCTCTCTCTCTGTTCCAGCGTGTGAGTTTAATTGTAGCTGAGAGACGATTCATGCCGGCCATTAGCTTTTGTGGTTTCAGCGTTTTGCTTTTGGGCTTTTAATCTGCCCTCTGATGGGAGTTTAATCTTTACTGACTGCACGATTACCTGTGAGAGACACAGACACACAGATGTATTCCATTACTCTGCTATTGAATGCGTTTAGACAGCGTGATGATTATCCATATTGAGTATCTGTGGCCACATCATTGAAGTCATATTATATATTGTGTATATAAACCCTGTTCCCCTTCTTTTTCTTTTCAATAGTTTGCATATCATGCTTTCTGCTAACACTCTCAGTTCAATTTAACATATTCCACCTTCGATTTCTAGCTGTTATTCTCCCAAACTCAGCACAGGAAATTTGGAAAGTCTGCAAATTTTGTCATCTGTCTCTGATACAGTTGTCTATATTCCAGATCGCAGAGAGTTAATGACATGACACTTGTCTTAAATAAATAAAGAAAAAAAAATAGAGAAAAAAAAATAAAAACATATATATATATATTATTGTATATTATTGTATAATATATATATATATAGATTTTAAAAATGAAAAACATGTTCATCAAGTCTCTGTACATATGAATTTTATTTGTAATATATATATTTTTTAATTAATTTAATTGTAATGTTTTGGGTGAAGCATAAATGGTGTGACATAATAAAGAAAAAAGTCTTAAATTAAGTCGTTTTGCGTAATTTTATTGTTTCATTTTAAAAATGCAGTTTTGTTAAAATGTTATTTATTCCAATATATATATATATATATATTTATTTTATTTGGTAACATTTTACAATAAGGTTCCAGCTATATTTAATGCATTAACTAACAATGGACAATACATTTGTTACAGTATTTATTAATCTTTGTTAACATTAGTTAATACAAATACAACTTAATTAATGTTAGCTCAGGTCCATTAACTAACATTAATAGATACAACTTTTCATTTCAGTAATGTATTAGTAAATGTTGGAATCAAAATGTATTTAACCAACTAATTGACTAAGATTTATAAATGCTTTAGAAGTATTTTTCATGGTTAGTTTATGTTAACTAATGTAGTGTGGAAACAAAAATATTAAGCAGCATAACTGTTTACATTGATAATAAAAATAAATGTTTCTTGAGCATCAAATCAGCATGTTAAAATGATTTCTGAAGGATCATGTGACACTGAAGACTGGAGTAATTGCTGCTTAAAATGTATCAGGAATAAATGACATTTTTAAATATATGAAAATAGAAATTGTTTCACAATATTGCTGTTTTTACTGTATGTTTTATCAAATAAATGCAGTCTTGATGAGCATAAGACTTCTTTCAATAAATATTTAGTTTAGTTAACTTTTTAACTCACAAATGTATTTATTTATTTGTTTATTTATTTAATAATGACTTCAATGTGTTCACTCACATGGTTGAGGTTTAGAGTTTTCTTGAATTCTAATCGTGTTTTGTGTGTGTTTGTGTAGCTGGTAAGGAGGATCTATAAGGGAATTCCACTGCAGCTCAGAGGTCAGGTTTGGTGTTTGCTGCTCGACATCCCCAAAATCAAGGAGGACAAAAAGGACTTCTATGAGGTAAACGCAGTTTCTCCATTCCAGCATAGGCATGGCTTTCTTAAGAGCTAGTTTATTCCACAGAAACGTGTATGCGTGTATGTGTGAGAGAGAGAGAGGCAATCACAAACTCTTTGCTTAAATATGACTTTCTAAAATAGCCGACCCCTGAGGTTTGCAATGTAACACTTATATGGTTTGACACACACACACCGCAGAGGGAAATATCACTCCAAACGGAAAATAGCAGCTTTACTAAAGCCCTGCAGCATCCAACTGGACAGAAAACATGATTTGCAGTCTGCATTCCCTTTTAACTGGAGGTTTTTGTGTGGCAGAAATCATGCTGTGGTCTGTGAGCGTATCGTTAGATTCATTTGTGGCCTGCAGAGTGTTGTTATATAGTTAGTTATATTTATTATGAACTCCATGAACTGTTTTTGTCTTTCCCCAGAAACTGAAGATCAGAGCCAGGGGGTTGTCTCCAGATATTCGTCAGATTGATCTGGATGTGAATCGTACATACAGAGATCACATCATGTTCATGCACCGCTATGATGTCAAGTGAGCATCCAAACATACACACCAACAAAAAAAGCACACAGGAGGTTTTAATGCAACTGGCCACAATAGGCAATGCCAGCTGACCATTAGAGCCCCTTGGCCTCTCTGTGAATATAGCCTGAGTCCTCCATGCCCCTCACCACATTGCATAAGCTGACCAATGGGGCATCTAGGCCACTCGGCACGAACAGCACAAGCTTCCCACTATCGGGTACCTAGGCCCTCCTGCAAGCTGACCACTAAGCTCCCAGGCCCTTTGGCACATAAACGTCATAAATCTCTTTTAAGCAAGATGTACATGCATGACAAAAGGAATAACAGTATCATGCATCAACACCATATATAATTTTTTAAATTATAGGTTAGGTTTATTATTTATTTATTGAAGTTATTGTTGTTTTGTTTCTTTTTGGATTTGTTGTTTATTGTGTTACATGAGAAAAGCATTACAGAAAGTAGCTTTAGAAAGAATATTTTCTCTTTTTTTCTTTTTCATTTTCATTTTTCTTTTTTTTCTTTTATATCTTTGGGTGAACTATCCCTTTAATATTATTTTTTTATTACTATGGATTTTTTATTTTTATTTTCAGATTGTTTATTAATATGTACTGTGTGTGTGTGTGTGTGTGTGTGTGTGTGTGTGTGTGTGTATATATATATATATATATATATATACATATGAGCAATATCACTCGAGTACGAGAGCGATACCGGCTCTATATCAGCATGGCTGTATAGAGCCGGTATCGCTCTCATACTCGAGTGATATTGCGTTTATACAACAGTTCGACGGAACATGTGTGTATAAAATCAGTATCTCATTTGCACTTGTGCTACTTGGGACAAAAACAACACTGGTGTGATATTGCACTCGTTAAATGCGTAAAAAATTTTAACTCGTACATTTTACAATTTTAACTCGTACACAAAACTAATTAATTAGATTAACGTGTTAAATCGACAGCCCTAATTATTATTATCATTTTTTAAATTATTATTATTGTTAGTTATTATTATTATAGGCTTACTATAAGTTTATTTTTGTTTGTTCATCTGGTTAGGGTTTTTTATTTTTTTATTCTGAGTTATTGAAGTATCCAAACATTATGTCTGGTTTTGTTTTTTGTTTTGTTTTTGTTTGTTTTGGTTTTGGATTCTAAACAAGGTATTGAAGTATCTAAACATTTTGCATTTTGTTTTGTTGTTTTATTTAAATTTATTTTATTTATCATTATTATTATTATTATTATTATTATTGAATTCTGAACAATTAATTCAAGTATCCAACCATTTTACTGCAAATATTGCATACATTGTTGTGCTTTATCAGGCTTTCATACTGAATTGCTTTGCTGATAGAGGCTTTTTTTATGTAGGGCTTTAATCTGTGTCTGTGTAAAATACTTTTTTTCCCCCTCTGAGATGCTTCCATTTCTCATGGCCATAAAACGTCTCGGTTACGTATGGTAACCCAGTTTACACTCGAAGTGGATTGGTCTCTCTAAGCGAGATCCCAATTTCGTCGGTCATCCGACGTGACGTCGAGAGTGACCGACTGAAAGGAAACTGCTACATTTAACCAGCATATGAAATGGAAAATTTGAGAACGCAATGGTGAGAGAGATGCCCACACCCCACCATTTCTCTTCGAGTTACTGGTGTATTGAATTGTGACGGGGCTAAAGCGCCCATATTGACTGATGTGACATTTACCTGTGGAGATTTGAAAGGGTCAGATCATTCTCACAGTGTGGCCTTAGACATCCATAGGGAAAATGAGACAATGTGAGAGGGAAAGAACAGAACATGTAAAAATGTGCAAAACCTAATGACCCATGGCATATAAAATAGAAAAACAGAATTGATTCTTTGACCATAATTGTTTTGTACGTGCTTGTGCGTTTCAGACAGCAGGATCTGTTTCATGTGCTCACAGCATATTCTGTATATAACACGGTGAGTAAAATATACCCACAAATATTGCCATGTTGATTCCAGTTGACGTCACAATTATTGAATTAAAATGCTACCTCAGTAGCAATCATTTTATGAGTATGTGCTTGCACTTGATTTATGTGTGGAAGGAACCTGCACACTATGGATTCTCTCTCTCTCTCTTGTGTGTGTGTGTGTGTGTGTGTGTGTGTGTGTAGGAGGTGGGCTATTGTCAGGGCATGAGTCAGATCACTGCTCTGTTACTCATCTATATGAATGAGGAAGATGCTTTCTGGGCACTGGTCAAACTGCTGTCTGGACAGAAACACACCATGCACGGTACACACACACACTTTTACTCATTCTAGAAAAGTGGTATTTAACTCATGTTGAGTAATTGTAGTTGTTGTAGTAATAATAATAATAATAAAGTAATAATAATAATAATAGTCATTCATATTTAGAAATTGCAAAATACAAGTTTTATAAGGGAAAAGGAAATGCTTGCCTTTATTAGTATTATTAATCCATACAGTCAACATTTATATAATTAAATAAATATATAAAATAAACATAGGCTATGCAGTTTGTTGTAATATTAATACATTTACATTTTAATTTTTTTTTTTTCTGTGATAAATTTTGGTACTGTGTTGAGTCACCACTTGATGTCCAATGTAAAATCTGGGTTGTAAAGCAAAATGAGCAAACCACTAAGCTACAACACTCATTTCATGATTAAGTCTTAAATTCTGTATATTGTAAACATGCACTTCACATACAATTTTTGTACCATATTGAAAAATGTTGTTGTGTTCGTCTAGGCTTCTTTGTACCAGGGTTCCCTAAACTCATGCGCTTCCAGGAGCATCATGAACGTATCCTGCAGAAGATTATGCCTAAGCTCAAACAACATCTAGTAAGACACACAAACACCTCCAAAACATCATGCACTATTCAAAAAGTGGGACAGTGGGCCACTTCACTTGTAGAAAAACTCATGTAGTATTACTTCACGGTACACATTACTTGCATCTAAGACTTTTTTGTTCATGTAGATATTTTGTCCTGATTAACACTGTGTCCTAAATTGAATTTTCACAATGTCTGAAAAGCTTCATATCCAGTCTTATTTTTGGCCTATATTGTGTTCTTTATTTGTCAGTGTATTTGTGTCTTTTCTGAAATAAACCTGAGCAGCTGGTCAACCCAAAGCGCTGGTGTAACAATGAATTCACAAAAATGCAAGCCTTGGATTCATTAAAGGGCAGAGTAATTAATAAAAGACAACATTAATAAATAATTAGATATATTTATTAATTAATTATTTGTGTGTGAGAGTCAGTCTTTGATGTGAATGGATTAGCGTGTGTGTGTGTGTGTGTGTCTGTGAGAACATATGGCTTTGTTCCCAATAGTATATAGTACAACCGTAGTACTTGCTTAACATTTTTTGCTAAAGTGAACAAGCAATGCAAAGAGGTCTTGAAACAATTGTGTAGCTTACTACATTTTTGAAGCATCCACCATTGCATATTGTGTATTTTTTCAAGTTTAAAAAAGTATATACTGTGCAGTATGTTGTACACTAGTATATAGCGTATGTTTGAATGAATAAAGATTTTTTTTTTTTTTAATGTGTGTATGTTTTGTTACCATGAGCGTACAATACCTGTCCCTTTGCTGCCCTCTACAGGATAATCAAGAGGTGTACACCAGCCTGTACACTATAAAATGGTTTTTTCAGTGTTTCTTGGATCGGGTATGCACTCTTTAAACATTATTTCTGAGCACATTATTATTTTATGTTATTATTTATATTATTATTTGTTGTCCAGTGTGAAACCTTACTGATTTGAGTGCATTTATTTGTTTTTGATTGAATAGACTCCATTCACGCTCACGCTGAGAATATGGGATATTTATATTCTGGAAGGAGAGCGAGTTCTGACTGCGATGTCTTACACCATCCTCAAGCTCCACAAAAGTAATGAAGCTAAAATGTTTAAATTCAGATTCTAAATATAAATATAAAAAAAGGTTGATCAATGTGCAAAATAAACCCTGAAAGGACTAGAAATCCCTGTGCTAGCTAGACTGCAGTAATTGTAATTAGTTATAATTAGTCTGTGATTCTTCAGAGACTTTGAACGTCCCATTCTAATAGTAACTACTCTGTGTGTTTGTATGTTAGAAATCCTCTTGAAGTTGTCCATGGAGGAGCTGGTGAAGTTTCTGCAGGTGACTTTGTCAAAGGATTTCTTTTTTGAGGATGACTTTGTGATAGAGCAGCTTCAACACTCCATGTCTGAGCTCAGACGATCTAAACTGGAGCTGCCACCTCCAGGTACTTTAAACACACACACACATGCACTGAAATCTTGGCAAATCATAAAATGTATGGCTGTGTGTCACCACCCATAGAGGGACACATCCTACTGCACACACTCCTTTATCTCAACGCACACACACACACTGTCATTCACTGCTGCTATGTACTGTTTGTCTAATCTGCGTTCTCTCCCTTTCGCTTCAAACATAGCCTCTGCTTACACTAGTGGGTCTGGGAAGGGGGGGCGCCAACCCTCCTACATAACCAACCGGTGGGCAAAAAAGCACTGACTACTTTATCTGTCAATCAACCGACCATTCGTTCGTCTACCCCCACTACACACATGTCCCTTTCCCCTCGTTTGTTTCTCTGTCTCTCACAAAACCTGGATTGGGGAGGTTAACCAAAACGTTTGTCACAAAAATGTGCTATGGGGTACTGTACGTTACAAACATGTAAAAGGACAGTTATGATGAATACATTTATGAATGAGTACAATGGATACGATTTAAGAACATAAAAACACACAAGTCAGTAGATAGAAGTGTCCAAAATTTAATTTTTGCAAAATTAATGGCAAATGAATTAAGTAGCTGATAAGGATCGAGAACCATAGATATTCTTTACTGGCCTTGAAACTTTTAACATGGGTATTTTTGTATGATAGGGTATTGTATCGTTAGCTTAGCAACATGCTAACACCAAACTATTGAAATCAATTCTGAGTCAAGTCTCCTGTTCAATTTGCATGAGAAACCATGAACAAAAAGATGATTGATTTAAACCATTCATGCCATTCATTTGGCAAGCGACTCACTTTTGGTGATTGGCAAATCTTAATTTTGGACCCGAAATATGATAACCAGCACCTTTGGAGGTGTTCATGAGTTTGTGTGTATTTGACGTTTGCGTTCCTCAAGCCACTTCTCAATGCACACCAATATCCGCCCCCAACCATCAGTATCTGTTTGTAAACGTTCATCATTCCCTTGACGTTTTCTTCAGTTTCCTTCACTGCGAACGTGAATATTGTGCATATGATTTGTGTTCCAAAATGTACCTAACACATCTTTTCTCCACATGGTTTATATGTTCACAGTCAGGCTTGAACTGTAAGTGTTGTGATATTTTCATTTATATTTTTAGCTTCTTGACTCAGTGTTCCCAATCTGAGCATTGATTTGACACCAGCCGTGGATGTTTGTGGTTTCATTTTATTTGAACAAAGTGTCAACTGTAACTCTCGTTTTATTTGGCAGTTTTGTTCTTCTAAAAGACATTCAGCTGCATGAGTCTTGCACTTCAGTGTTTGTTATATTCTGATGGTATAAAGACTCCATGAAATGCGGTTGCATTTTATTGGTCAGAAATTTGTATACGCCCTTAAGTGCTAGAGGAGTCATCAATGTTTTGGTCTGTTTCAAAGGAAGAGAGAGATTGTACATTTTGAATGCAGATGAAGTTCGTAAAAAGTTTTGATTTCATGGGGTCTTTAATACTTGGCATTTCTGTACTGATGTTAGCTCTGATTGGCTATTTTGCTATCACCCATGCAGGTAAGGATGATGAGTTTCCTAAGAAACCATTAGGTCAACTTCCTCCTGAGCCTCCAGGATTGGCAGCAGCAGCAGCAACGAATCATATGGCTAACGGGCAGCCGGTCGGGAAGACGGTTGAGGGCCTTCCCCCTCGTGTTTCAAGCCCTGCCGCAAGCGTCAGTAAACAAGCAGAGTCTGGTCCTGTCACTGATGGAACACCAAAGAGGTACCAAGAAAGTCGGCCACCCAGCTCATTGGAAAGGGTGCCTCATCCAGACAAGAGTGAGAGGGATCGACGAGGTGTGGACATTCAAAAGGAACGAGTCCCAACCCACATGCCCAACAGCAGCTCAACAGGTGGTGGGAAGGTGCTGACCCAGAATCAGGCAAATCACAACTCCAATGCTAGATCCAGCATGCGCAGGGACATTGCACCTCGCTGGGTCAAGCCTTCAGAGGGCAAACTGGAAGCAGTCAAGGCTGCAGCACGGGAAAGCCAGTTGAGTCTAACTATGGGTGTTCCACCCTCGCCCAGCTCCCCAACTCCAGAGGCGGCCACCGGGGCACAGTGCAGACCCCATTCACGAGCATTTGTTCCAGGCTCCAACCGTGCCTCCAATGCCTCGCAATACGACAATGTCCCAGGACCAGATGGAGAGGTTATGGAGATTATAGAGCTTGAGAAACCACCCTCTCGCCCCCCCTCCCGACCATACGTTGGGCCTTCTTTGAGACAGGGCAGTCCCACCCGTCTCCCTAGTGATGGAACTGGCGTCTCTCCCTTTAGAATGCCCAAACAGAGCATGATGCAATCCAAACCAGAACCCCGTGCACCTCTGCACTACCCACCTGGCATGACTCCTGTCTACACTCCCTACGTTTCTGATTCTCGGTCTGAGGACAGACTATACGGGCAGCCGTATGCCGAGCAAATTTACGCAACTACGAGACGTGGCTCATCTAACTCTTCGCCTGAGAAAACACTGATGAACAACAGCTACTTAACCTACCGACGGCAATCGCCAAACATGCCCCCTCTCAGGGTTGCTCCGGCTGAGCTTTCGTCCCAGATAGACAGTGTTGGCGAGGGCGGGTATTACATGCGACAACCCACCCGGCTGCTGGGCTCTTCCCCTTACCCGCCCACAGAACTGCGTTATGAGGCACACAGACAGAAAGAGGGCTGGTATGGGGACATGGAGGCGGGACCTCCACGGTCTCCTGTGGGACTACCTCGATCTCCCAGCTTCCAGAAAGCGCAGCTCTCTCCCATTCACCCCGTTCAGGAGTTTAACTTTGCACCTGCAAATATCTCGGACGCTGTGCTCCATTTCAGAGGACCCTACCAAGAGCCCTCCAGCAGGCAACAGCTCCCCCCACTGTTTGGTGGAACACACTACAGGCAGGCGCAGGAGGCCTTTGCAATGCAGGAGTCCATGCTGCTCTAAGAGGGACTGACAGGGACCAAGATAGACGGATACACTGTATGAGTGATGGCTAGCAAGCAGTTTTGTGTTGGTTTAATGTTTTTTGCATTCTGTTTTGTTTGTTTGTTTGTCTGGCAAGTCTTACCACATCAAAGGCTGACTGAAGAAATGTACTTTTGTTTTTGTTTGTACATTTTTGTCTGTAAAATAACCATTAACTGCTGATGTGAGTTATATAACAAAGCTTAAATGTGCAAAGAGATATTTTTTTTGGTTCGTTTGGTTAGCACACTGAGATATTTAAATAGAGAGTTATGGAGAGTCTTTTTCATATGGACAAACTCAGTTACTGATCAATTATCATCTATTTTTTTAATGCATTTCAGACATAAACATAAAGTTTAGAGGACACTTTATTCCTTGATTGTGAATATATATTTTTAACAACAAAGATTTGTGTAAGTTGGATATGTATATTATAAACAACTGTAACAGTGAACATAATCGCTGTTTGACAGAACTTTTCAATGCATCACTACAGTGTTCAAGTGAAAGTAAGAACCTTGTTTGTAAGGCTTGTGTTTTGAGGTTATACATAAAAATGCAGATATTTAATCTTAAGTTGAAAGGGAATTTTAGGGGGTATGTGCGTTCTCAAAATCTGTTGCACTGACCAGCAAGTAGATATCATATTTTCAGTTCATCAAGGTAACAGATCAATAACTGATGAGACCAACTGATGCCAGATCTTGAATTAAAATTATAAAAGCTGCCTTGGATGTGACCAGCAAAACTTGACAATTGTGTTACTGTCATTAGCAGAGAAGTCTGTAACAAAGGTTGAATTTAAGTAAATTGGGCCCCTTTGGACAGTTAAAGTGTCCCAATTTACCCAAATCATCCGAAAAATGTCTGTCTGTGATGCCAGTGCAAGTTATGCAATTAGTTACCGAATCACAAATCTGTTCAGTAATTCAATAATATGGCTGGTAGTTTGTAGCATGCAGCTGCTGTATTAAGGTGGTTGTACCTGTGCTGTTACTCAGTGGAATTCTTAAAAAAAAAAAACTTCAACTTTTTTACAACAGATTATCAAATTCAAATTTCACAAAAAGCACAGGTGTTATACATTATAACACAATCAAGCTGTACAGCTCATTGAATCTCTGCAGATCTACTGGCAAATTTTTTAGTCCGTATTCCAGTCCACTCTGTCACTTTTGACCCCCTAACCTGTTTTTGAGTGAACCCATTTAATTTAATGTAATTTTATTTTATTTTTTTCAAATCAGTACTATAGTAATTAACCAAGACAACATAAGTAAATTAGCAGAAATGCACACCTGTTCTGCAAACCTTAGGGATGTATTTCAGTAAGGTTTAGGTGAGGCTGTTAAAGGGTTTTTTTTTTTGGATTTGATTTGATTTTATTTGATTATCCATTTGCATGGAGCCGTTATCAGCATTGCTTCCTCCAACCACATGGACATTGTTTATCATCTTACTTAATGTTATTCACTAAACATTACTTTCCATGTACCTTGACTTATCCCCCTTTTTTTTTATCGGCCAACTTGACTTGATTTTATGGCAGGGCAACACTACCAACTTATTTCACACATTCATTTATACACACCAGTATGTTTGCTACTGAATATGTAGCAAATGGATTATTTCATAATACACCCTAATGACCGGTCCAAACATTTACATTTATTAATTCAGCAGACGCTTTTATCCAAAGCGACTTACAATTGAGGAATACAACAAGCAATTTACCATAAGATGGCAATAAATACGAGAAGTGCCCATTATACAAGGTTTCAGTCATCTCATCGTTCAAAATAGTAAAAGCAAGGACAGGAAGGGATAAAGGATAATAACACAATAACTAGAAGTCGCTTTGGATAAAAGTGTCTGCCAAATGAATAAATGTAAATGTAGAATAGAAAAAGTGAAGGCATAGAATTATTTTTATTTTTTTTACATTTATTTTAGGCGGCAGTTAGATGCTCACGGAAGAGTTGAGTTTTCAGTTGTTTCTTGAAGATTGTGAGGGATTTGGCTGTCCTGATGGAGTTAGCTAGGTCATTCCACCAAGAGGGTACAGTGAAAGAAAACATCCTAGAGAGTTATATATAACTCTCTGCGATCTCTGCAATGGGACCACGAGCAGCCACTCATTTACCGACCGTAGGTTTCTGGAGGGGATGTAGATGAGTAGGAGAGAGTGGAGGTAGGAGGGTGCGGAGCCCGTGGATGTTCTGTAGGCAAGCACCAGTGACTTGAACTTGATGTGAACCGTGACTGGAAGCCAGTGCAAAGAGATGAGAAGTGGTGTGACATGGGCTTTCTTGGGCTCATTGAAAACAAGACGTGCTGCTGCGTTTGAATCATTTGAAGAGGTCTGATTGCACATGTTGGAAGTCCAGCCAGACGAGCATTACAATAGTCCAGCCTAGAAATTACAAGGGCCTGGACGAGAAGCTGTTGTTGCATGCTCTGTTAGGAAGGGTCTGATCTTCCTGATGTTGTGTAGTGCGGACCTGCATGATCGTGCTATTTTTGCAATATGATCTTTAAAGGTCAGCTGATCAGTCGTGGCCTAATGGTTAGAGAGTCGGACTTGTAACACGAAGTCTCAGGTCCAGCAAGGATTGTAGGTGGGGGGAGTTAATGTACAGCGCTCTCTTCCACCCTCAATACCACGGCTGAGGTGAGACCCTTGAGCAAGGCACCGAACCCCCAACTGCTCCCCAGATACCACAGCAATATGGCTGCCCACTGCTCCGGGTGTGTGTTCACGGTGTGTGTGCACTTGGATGGGCGAAATGCAGAGCACAAATTCTGAGTATAGGTTACCATACTTGGCCACACATCACTTCACTCACTCACTCACTTAATCAACAAGGATCACCCCAAGATTACTGGCCGAACACGATGTGATTATCGTTGAGGAGCCCAGCTGGACGGTAAACTGGTGCTGTACTGAATGGGTGGCTGGGAAGATGAGAAGCCAGGTTGTCTTTGCCAGGTTGAGCTGCAGGTGATGTTCTTTCATCCATGCTGAGATGTCCGTCAGGCAGTCTGAAAATCGAGAAGGTATTGTTGGATCATCTGGTTGAAATGAGAGGTAGAGTTGTGTGTCATCAGCATAGCAATGGTAGGAAAATCCATGTGCCTGAATGATGGGTCCCAGTGATGTAGTATATATAGAGAAGAGGAGGGGCCCAAGAACTGATCCTTGAGGAACCCCAGTGACCAGTCGATGATATTTGGATACCTCTCCTCCCCAAGTCACCCTGAAGGACCTACCTGTGAGGTAAGACTCAAACCAGTGGAGCGAAGTTCCGGTGATGCCCAGCGATGAGAGGGTGGACAGAAGGATTTGATGATTAACAATGTAGAATGCAGCAGATAGATCTAGCAGAATGAGAACATGAAAATTTGGACTCGGCTCTTGCATCACTCCGTAGTGCTTCAGTGACTGAGAGCAAGGCGGTTTCAGTCGAATGGTCACTTTTAAATCCAGATTGGTTATTGTCCAGCTGGTTGTTCTGTAAGAGGAAGAAAGACACTTGGTTGAACACAACGCGTTCAAGTGATTTTGCTATGAATGGGAGGAGAGACACACAGGGCCTGTAGCTTTCAAAAAGTCAGGTGCCTAGTGTAGGTTTTTTAAGTAGTATGGTTACCTGAACCTGCTTGAATGCTGTGGGGAAAATACCTGTGAGAAGAGATGTGTTGATGATATGTGAGTAAATGCAGAAGTGCAGGGGAAATAGCTTGTAGGAGATGTGAGGGGATTGGGTCTAGAGGACAGGTGTTAGGGTGGCTGGAGAGGATAAGTTTAGAGACTTAATCTTCTGTAAGAGGAAAGGAGGATGAGAGAAGATGGTCAGCTGAGTGAGTGTTTGCTGTGAGTTCCTGGGTGAGTGGAGTTGAGAACTGACTGCTGATGGATGTGGTTTTGATTGTGAAGTGATTAGCAAAATTGTCAGCAGTTAAAGAGGTGGTGGCAGGTGGCGGAACTTGTTACGGAAGAAGATAGTTTTGGCAGCGTGAACTTTGGTGGAAAATGAACATTGCAGTGATACCTCTGGAATCAGCAATACCTGCTGAGATCAGCTGAATCTTTTGATTTGCTCCATTTTCTCTCCGCTGCCCTGAGTTTAGTCCGATGCTCACGGCGGACCTCGGTTAACCAGGGGTTCGAGGGAGTAGCACGTGCTGGTCTGGAGGAAATAGGACAGATATTGTCTAGGCAGCGAGTTAGGGTAGAAAAATAACGGATCTGTGGAACAATTCACATCTAATGATGAGAAATGTGTGGGGGTGGGAAGAGAGGATGATACTATAGAGGAAAGTCGAGAAGGAGATTTCATCTAAACAAAACTGGCAGAGGGGTTGGTGGTGCGGAAGGAGGTAGATGTAGATTAAAAGTAATAATGAAATGATCCGACACATGCAAGGGATTGACCAAGATGTTATTTGTGATACAATTGCATGTAAAGATGAGGTCGAGCTGGTTACCTGATTTATGGGTACCAGTGGTGTTTAGCCGCCGAAGGTCGAAAGAGGATAAGAGAGAGTGGAAGAGTGGAGGATGTGGCTTCTCAAGGTGGATGTTGAAGTCACCAAAAAGTACTAGAGGGCTGCCATCCTCAGGGAATGAGGACAAACAGCTTTCCGAATGCTCCACGCAGCACACAGTCCTTATGTATCCCTTTGTGATCTTGTCTGCTATTCAGAATCATATTGATGCAAAAAAAAAACTTTATTCCCATGTCTTGTACATGAACAAGCAAGCTAATTTATCTTCTGCTCTAGCGTCAAATTTTTCCTTCTTCCAGGCGTGTCATTGCAGTATAATAGCTGGTTTAGTGCACTTCATTTTGACATAGCATTCTATTTCAGATTGTTTCATTGAATATTTCCTTGGTAAACTACTAAATGCAGCTTAATTTTCAGAATTTCCCTTCTCTAATAAAACAACATGGGGTTCTTTAAAAAAAAATGTGGCTTCCATTTTGTTTGCGTGTGTGTGACACTAAGAAATATGACATTGTGATCTCGACTTGTTTGATGAATGTAATGTGTGAGATGTCATTCAATTCTAAAGACTGGAAAATATTTGGATGCATGTTCTTCTTACAACCACCAGATGTCTCCTTCTGCATAAACACATTGTGCAATTTGATACTAGAGGTCTATTTCAAACTTAACAATTCATGAAGATGAAGGTAAGGGTGGTGCAGGACTTTACTCAGTATAAAAGTTTCATTCTTCATTATGACTTTATTTTAATGTAACTTTAATTTAATTGTAATGTCCTTGAACAAATGCAGACAATAAAGTGCAGGCCCAGTCTGTGTTCTTCCCCCACTAGATTGTACATTTTGGTCAAAACCTTTTAGATTTAAGATGAAAAACTTGACATGTAGAGCACGGCGCTATTAAAATTAAGGTCATGTTCACAATTCCCAGACACACTTACTAATAAATGGGACTGTCATATGGAAACTTCTCATATTTATTTTTCAATACAAATACTGTTTTGATGATAGGAGTGATTGATGTTTATTATCTCATGATAAAGACAGCCTAGGCCATTGTTTTCAGTCCCCATGACTTCTTTGTCTCTGCCGAAAACAGACATGGAAACTGTATGTGTGTCGACCTTTTTTTTCTAGAACAAAGAGGAGATGACTAGAAGAGTAGATTTTGCCTTCAGATCACTGGAAACTATTTGTTGTTAAGTGTTTAAAATTACATAATTCATTGGCATCCTGTCAAGTGTTTACCTATTGATCTGTTGATTAATGCTGTCAAATTTGTTGATGCAACCCAACACATTGTTCATAAATACTGACCTAAAAATGAGTCAGCCAGTGGCCAATTAAAGGGCCAGACCCAGCTGAAAGAAACAACTTCCATCAAGTTTATTTTAGGTCTAGTTTTAGCTCATTTTTCTTTCTTCCTTGAAACAAAAATGTGAGATTTGAAGAATTTCCTTCAAGGTCTTTTACAAAACGTGACAGTTCATAGATACCATAACTGTAAATGATGCTTAGTTTTATTGGTTTATTTGGATAATAGTTTGAATTAATTTATTTTTTTTAAGCATGTAACATACATAGCTTGAAACCTCTGTGGATGCGTACAGACACAGTGAACACCTCCAGACATCTGAGCTCACAGATTACCACATCCATGAACACACTCTCACACATGCAGCACAGCATGAGACTAGATTGCAGCTGTCATGACTAATGATGTGCAAGAGCTATTATGTGGCTTTTTACATTGAGACTGGAATTATAGGCTTGAATGGACACAGATTTCCTCTTTACAGTGTTTCAAGATGGTGCAAGCAAACAAGTTACTCAAGACTCCTCTGCAGCGGCACCCTAACCTACATTTAAACTCATGCGAGTTAAATCTCATAGACTTACCTTCAAGGAGGGGCATGGACCATATCTGGAAATCAACTGTTTTGTTTTTTAACTATATGTAACCACTTAACTTCCATGCAACAGCTTAGCAGTGCCTTAATAACTACCCAGAACACCTTAGCAACCAGTCGCCGTGATTTTGCCAAGTATGACATGTTCCTGGATCAACATCTTTTGTTGATCCTGGATCAACATTACTGTCCAAAAATACAGACTAAACCCAATCCCTACCCCTAAACCTAACCCTACATATAATTTATTCCTAAAATCAGTGGGAAATGATAGCTGATTAACAAGGGTGTAGAAGCACCTAACCCTGATTGTAAGCCTAAAACAGACATTTCCTGAAAAGTTATCCCTCAATTCTGATTGGTTGATAGGAATGTTGATCCAGGAACATGTTGTACTTGGTGAAATCAGGCTCACCCTTAGCAACCATCCACAACAACCTGGCATCAAAACAGCAACTTTCCACATGGACATTTCAGAAGAAATAGTCAAGCAGTAAGAGTAAATGTGCAGTCAAATGTTGTGGCCCTAAAAGTGTCCATTGTCTCCCAGTAGTGTAGAGATGTATGAATCACTTTTCACAAAGAATAACTTTCAAACCAACTTTCTTTTGGTCAACATCTTTCGTCTTCACACAAAAATTTCCAATCACGTGGAATCCTATTAAAATGACTGGATTTTGCCCATTCGAACAAGAATACAATATGTTAAGATAAAGGCATGGTCACAATTGAAATTTCACGGCCAAAAAATGGGTCCATTGTCTTTTGTCAATAGTGTAGCAATGCATGAAGCGCAGTTAACAAAGAAGTCACTTTGAAACCTAGCAGCTTTCTGTTGTGCAATGCGCCAAATTTGCATGACTAACTTTAACCTGTTGAGAAATTTTTCACCTTCACGCAAAAATTCCAATTGAGTGGAATCCTATTGAAATGACTGGAATTTGCACATGAAAATTCGCCAAACGAGGGTGAATGTAACCATGCTTTAAGAGTAAAGGTATGGTCACTTTTGCAGAATTTTGGTGAAACTTCATGGTCAAACAATGGGTTCATTGCCTATTGTCAATAGTGTAGCAATGAATAAAGCGCAGCTCATAAAGAAGTCATTTTCAAATCTAGCAACCACATTTGCATGACCAACTTGAACCTGTTGCGAAATCTTTCACTCTCATGCAAAAATCCCAATCACGTGGAATCCTATTGAAATGACATGAATGATTTTGCCCATGAAAATTTTGCCAAAGGTAAAAGTGACCACACTTTAAGAGTAAAGGTGCAATATCATTTGTGAAATTTCAGTGGCATTTCATTGGCAAAAAAAAGGGTCCATTAATGTCAATTTTAGATAGTATAAAGCACAGCTCACACAGAAGTCACTTTCAAACCAAGCAGCTTTCTGTTGGTCAATGCGCCAAATTCGTGTGACCAACTGGAGCCCTTTGCGAAATCTCTGTGTGGAAATCTTTCACCCTCACACAAAGTTCCCAATCGCATGGATTCCTATTGAAATGACTGGATTTCGACTGTGACTGGTAGGCTATCATTAAACATTTTTTGAGTGTTTGAGGAGATCATAGCTCAGGTAAAGTGGAATCCTTCCTTTGACATGACTCATGTATGATGACATATCATGTTTATGGTTTGTGTAAACAAGTTTATGTTCTAGGACAAAAACAGAGTCTGGAATTCAGTACACCTTTCATTATTGGAAAAAAAAACAGTAAATACTCACGTCACTGGTTTAAGTTTGTTGAGAAATGACTTTTTCCTTCTAGAGAGCTCGTTTTAGACATTTAAAGTTTGTTATCCTAGAAATGCAAACTGGACCAAGCTGAAGCACCCTTTTAGATCAGTATAAAGAATAATGACGGAATGCAAATGTCTCCGAGTTTATATGCAACTACACTCTAAAAAATGCTGGGTTAAATACAACCCAGTGCTGGGTAAAATAGGGACAAACCCAGCAATTGGGCTGTTTTGACCCAGTGGTTGGGTTAAATGTTTAACCCAACCTTCTGGGTAGTAACCCAACCACTGGGTCAAAACAACCCAATTGCTGGGTTTGCTAATGCTTAATTAGACAGTAGGTGAGTGTAAACTCAGCAGTAAAGAATGAGCTTGCAGGAACAGGTGTGTCATTTATCTGGTTGTACTGTCGCCCCGAGGGACTCAGCAGTAAGCTGGAGATGAGTGCTACACCTGAAATTTGACAGCAAAAATTCAAGAGATCTTCTTATTAGTCTAAAACGAAATGTTTTGGCTGCAAACCATTTTCTCTTCCTTCTTTTTTGTGTTGCTGTCTTATATGGTGTTTGCATAAAATGTAAACACGCTGTTCATAGCAGTTCACTGAATGTATGTTGTTGTTGTTTTTTTATATTATGTTAACTTTTTGATGTAGCCTATGATGTCAAGCGCTATATAAATAAAGGTGACTTGACTTGACTTGACATGTATATATATATGATGATTCATAACGGTCATTTTGACAGTCAGTAGTAGAATATGCAAATTGAAGTACGTCAAGAATCTGGTCAAGATGTCACGCAATAATGGGATATGCAAAGTCATTTTCAGGTAATACCTGTCGTTGTACGTGTACAAAGTACATTTTAATTGAATGTAAATAGTAAACAGAACGCACCAAAGGTTATGTCAAGTGTCATTGATACAGTGTGTGTGTGTGTGTGTGTGTGTGTTGAGCGCGCGCCCCGCCTCCACTGATTACTCCCTACAGCTGCACCAAACACACGTGAGGCTGGAGTGGAGTCAGTTGAACTCACTGCGCTATGGAACAAGATACCTTCATTTCATCAATGACACGAACAGGACGACGACATATGAACTTTCTTAAAATGTTATGAGATGATATAATGACAACAGAGTAACTAAACAAGCAGGACAAGGTCTTAAACAGTGTCGGAGAAGCGCCAGAGAACGCACAAGAGGTAAAGCTGCTCGTTTACTCTCATTAATACTAAGTACAAAGTCTAAAGTTGTTTGGTTAATGAATGCCTTGCGATGTAATGCAGTTTGTTCCTTTTTTATAAACCATATCATGTTTTATTTATCATTTAAGTGCACATGTGGTTTTAGTCATTTGTTGATGCTGTAGATTACTATTTATTACACATACTGTGTATGGTTTGAGTTTGTGTGTACATAATAATGTGATATTATTGATATTGATAGCATGGTTCCACCACAGATATATATAAAGAATAGTGACCTGCCTAACCATAAATTCGAATTTATGGGCATCAGCCTTTGTCCTCAGCAAATACTTATTTTAATTATTTTCAGAAATACACTGCACGCTTCTAGAAAAGGAAAACATTAATGTCAAAAAACTTAAAACGAACATAAACATTAGCCTGTGACTTTAGAGCATATTGCATTACTTTGACATTTTAGATGCAACACAACGATCATGTATTGGACATGAACACTAACATGCCATTTTTAAAGTACCTTGAAATAACATGTAAATACGGTAAAGTTAGTACAATTGCATTAATATCATACTTGAACCGTGGTAACACCACTAAACTTTTTGTAAGGGCATTTATTAACTGCATGAGGCTGATAGATAGATAAAATATAAATTATGCTAATATAAATAATGTCTACAAAGCAAGCACTAAAACAAATTAGGCAGATATGATGCTGAGAATTATTTTATGCTGGGCAATTTGAAAATTAGTTAATTATATTACATACAGCCTTGGGCTCTCCTGTCCAAACTATATATCAAACAATTTCCTAGTGAGCTGCCTATCTAGACAGCATTTTTGGACATTTAACACACCTGTCATATAAAGAAACATGTTTATTGAATGTCTTTCTAAACCTCAAGGCTTTAAAAATATGAATCCATATTGACAGACAATAGAAAGTGAAGTGAAACAAGATAAGGGCACATCACGTCATTGTCTTCTCTGTTTGTGTTTCTAGAAAAGGCTTCCACACTCTAACATTGTGTTGGCTCAAAGGATGTCCGTCTTCACTCTCTGCCTGTTCTTATGGTCCTGGCTATCATCCATTCACGGTCTGGAGTTTCGCTATCATAACAGCGTGGAAATGGAGCAGTACTTGAAAGACATCAACAGGATGTTTCCGGATATCACGCATCTACACAGTATCGGCCAGTCTGTTGAAGGTAAACCAGCTGTGGTGCAGCGTTAAGCACAATCATGACAATATTGTCCTATATTTATCATCTGTGAGTTGAATTCTTCTGTCTGTATGTGTTCCTGCAGAAGAGCACAGTGTTATACAGAGGGCAGGTGTATGGTGACCGATGCATGCAAAAGGTTCAAACTTATTGCCTGGCCGTCCATCAGAGAGCTTATTGTGCAACAAATATTTTTTATGAGTCTACAAACAGCAGCAGCAGTACAGTGAGCCAAATACAGCAGCAAGTTTAGCCAGAGCTTCTGTAGGATGGAAAAAATACTGACCTAGGGGGAGTTAATTTGTATATTTATTTATTTATACATGCATAAAATGGTTAGTTCTGGTTATGTAATTGGATTGGCCTGATATACAGTCCTCAGCACTGGGACTTCACACTGTTTGTATTGTCTATGTTTGCGGGTTCAAGAATGTCAGTATGTTTATTAAGACGCGATTGCACTAGACTTGGAGAATGTGAAATTTCTTTGGTGTTTTTGTTTTATTTATTTATTGGTTTTATTGTTTTATAAAGATAGCCAGTGGTATATTTGGATAAGACAAAAAAAGGATAGCAGTAAAGTTAAAGAAAAACATTTTTGAAAATTAGTTAATTATATTACATACAGCCTTGGGCTCTCCTGTCCAAACTATATATCAAACAATTTCCTAGTGAGCTGCCTATCTAGACAGCATTTTTGGACATTTAACACACCTGTCATATAAAGAAACATGTTTATTGAATGTCTTTCTAAACCTCAAGGCTTTAAAAATATGAATCCATATTGACAGACAATAGAAAGTGAAGTGAAACAAGATAAGGGCACATCACGTCATTGTCTTCTCTGTTTGTGTTTCTAGAAAAGGCTTCCACACTCTAACATTGTGTTGGCTCAAAGGATGTCCGTCTTCACTCTCTGCCTGTTCTTATGGTCCTGGCTATCATCCATTCACGGTCTGGAGTTTCGCTATCATAACAGCGTGGAAATGGAGCAGTACTTGAAAGACATCAACAGGATGTTTCCGGATATCACGCATCTACACAGTATCGGCCAGTCTGTTGAAGGTAAACCAGCTGTGGTGCAGCGTTAAGCACAATCATGACAATATTGTCCTATATTTATCATCTGTGAGTTGAATTCTTCTGTCTGTATGTGTTCCTGCAGAAGAGCACAGTGTTATACAGAGGGCAGGTGTATGGTGACCGATGCATGCAAAAGGTTCAAACTTATTGCCTGGCCATCCATCAGAGAGCTTATTGTGCAACAAATATTTTTTATGAGTCTACAAACAGCAGCAGCAGTACAGTGAGCCAAATACAGCAGCAAGTTTAGCCAGAGCTTCTGTAGGATGGAAAAAATACTGACCTAGGGGGAGTTAATTTGTATATTTATTTATTTATACATGCATAAAATGGTTAGTTCTGGTTATGTAATTGGATTGGCCTGATATACAGTCCTCAGCACTGGGACTTCTCACTGTTTGTATTGTCTATGTTTGCGGGTTCAAGAATGTCAGTATGTTTATTAAGACGCGATTGCACTAGACTTGGAGAATGTGAAATTTCTTTGGTGTTTTTGTTTTATTTATTTATTGGTTTTATTGTTTTATAAAGATAGCCAGTGGTATATTTGGATAAGACAAAAAAAAGGATAGCAGTAAAGTTAAAGAAAAACATTCAAATGTTTACAGTAAATAATATTAACACGTTTTACACATTTTTGGACAAACGAGTTATGACGTCCTGCTCTTTTTTTTTTTTAATAACATAAATTTAACAAATAGACAGCAAGCTTTAAAGTTTGCATTTTTTTTATTTATCTTATCGGTCAGCTAATATTTCTGTAGGTTACACCCTCACAGCAGTAGCTGGTGACAGGTTTTTAGGTAAATCGTTGAATTTGTTGAGCTGATTTGTTTGCATGCTGATTCATTCAGGAGCACTGCTACAGCTTGTTGCACGGAGATGTGCGTTTCATTGCACTCTGGCAATTTTTTTGTAACTATTTTAGTTGATGGAACTAAATTTTTGGAAGGATTTGTGGAAAACCAATACCATTTGTGTTAAGAATTCTAACTCTTTATCTTTTAGTGCCGTCAGAATACTCCCAGTCCCTGTATCGTTCATGAATGCATGGGCCCATGGGAAGAGTCATGAACACGGAGTCAAATCTCTGTCCACAAACTTCTTCAACTTTATTATCTCCTACAATAGTATATATAGACATTATTGTGAGGGCTGGTGTACCCCGTTCATCCAATAGGAGTATGCGTTATATATCATATAAGACAAAACGTGTCATATAAAATGATATATAAGCAAAAAGTTAAGGGAGAAGAATAACTTCTTTCCAGATGAATCACATTATTCAAGCTAACTAATGTAAAAACCTTAAGTGGATAAATATAGGTGACATAAAGAGGGGGAACACAGAAGGTAGGACGAAGAGAGACACAAGGAGGAAACCGAAGGGAGAAAGAACACAAACAGGCAGACTCGTAGAGATATTTGGCAGAGAGCATGATATTTTCAAACAATTTGCAATCGTGGTCTGAATAGACCTTAATCAGGTTAGACGCCAAATTGAAGAAAACAAGGCTGTGAGGAATAGACTTAGGCCCAATCCCAATTCTACCCCTTAGCCCTTCCCCTTTCCCCTACCCCTCCGTTTCGCGCGTTCACGTGAAGGGGTAGGGGTGTCTCGATTCTCTTTTGGTTGGAGGGGTAGGGGAAGGGCCAGACAGCCCTTCAAACGAAGATTTTTCGGGACCACACTTCAAACGAAGATTTTTCGGGACCACACTTCAAACGAAGATTTTTCGGGACCACACTTCAAACGAAGATTTTTCGGGACCACACTTCAAACGAAGATTTTTCGGGACCACACTTCAAACGAAGATTTTTCGGGACCACACTTCAAACGAAGGGGTATGAATTATCTCAACGTAAACCGACTTCAGGGGCAACATGGCTGATCGAGCGAACAAAAAGACACATAAATGTAAGCATTTTTGGCATTAATAAAGATTTTAACGAAAAGTAATCATTTGTTTTATGTTACATTCAATCGTGAGTTCATATTTACGGTCATGTTACTCAAAGAAATGTTTGCAAAAAATCGCTAACGTTTGCTAACTTCATATCATTACAAGAGTAATGATACAACATATTTTCATGTCTGATCAGGGCGATAACCACCGTAGACATTGAGG